AGAGATGTAAGATCGCACGCACACGAATCGGCGGCGTTAATCGTGAAAAACGTGTACGTACGATAAATTACTTACACGTTAGAAGCCGCGCTTTTTATAAACGACCTTTTTTTCCCCCTCGCTCGGCGTGCGGAGGTCGCGGGAAAAAAAAAAATATTCGCCCAGGTAACGAAGTGGCTCGTCACGCAACGCGAATGCCTTTGCCAACCGACTAAAGTATCGACTCTTAACGAACGTAAAAATTCTCGGAAAATTCGCATTGGCAGACTCATGCTCGAGCCAGACGTTGCAAATCTGTTCCGAACTCCGTCCAGCATTGTGCGAACGACCGAATTGCTGAACGGGTTCCGGGGCTCGTTCGTTAGACGCGACACTAAATTATCGAAACGGACAGCGGGGGAGAACAATAACCGAACGGTTTACGCTTGCGAATTAGAGCGATCACGTTTCCACGTAAATTTCCACGCGAGATTCATTTGTGTATCTGGAGGAACGATAATACGCACGTATCCGTTGCATGTAGAGTATAAAGGGGAGGAACGGGAGAAGAGGAGCAACCTAATTCCGATTCCAGGCGCGATGAGCAGATGGTATCGAGGACTCGGTCGGAGATAAAAAGAGAAGAAATAAAAGCATTAGGTGCGACCACGGTGTCTAGAATTCGAGTGCATTCGCGTGTACAAGTTTCCTGGAAGCTGTCACGCCGCCGTTAAAAATACTCCACCCCCCCGAATAAATTAGAAAAGTGTCGTTCCGATCCTGGCAGCGCGCTGTTAACATGCTAATAGCGTTGTGTCGTACGTTATACCTGGTGTAATGACAGTGCGGATGATCAGGGAACAAAAGGAGCGTGACGAAAGTGGGAAAGATCAGCGAGTAGGTGAATAAGCGGTGGCTCGAACGTCGTTTAGAAGCCCCGGATCGATGGTAAAACCGATAAGCATAAAAATGCCCCCGGAGCGTATCGAGTTATATTCTCGATCACGAAAGGGGTCGTACGTTTATTCATTGGTAGAAAATTGTTTGAAAGCGCACGAAGGGAAACAGAGACACTACGCGCCGTGAAATAACACGGGGTCACTGTCGCCTGTTTACCCTTAACCGTTGCGTGTAGCCCCGGAATTTATCGCGACATTTATGGTTTCCCCTCGTACATCAGATTTTAACTGCGTTTCCTCGGAAGCCTCGAGGCTCTCCTGTCTACCGGCTTATCTCTCGAGATGTTTGCCTCCCTCGTTCCAAGTACTTTTTATCTCTTTTTCTCCCGACCAATTTTTGTTTCTCTCCCATTGGATCCGATTGATTCTTATCCGAACGTGATTAATCGTCGATCGTGTTCTTGGCGCGTTCGATTCCGAATGAAATAGAGAGAACCTGCTTTAGATTATGATTGGACGGGGTGAAAATTTATCGCGGACCCTTGAAAATGACGTTTGTCGTTTCTGAGCCCGGCTTAGCCAATGTCAAAAAGAACGGAGACCGGGATCATCCGGGACAAGATAGTTTTTTCAACAACGACAATGGGGATCCATTAAAGCTCGCATGTTGTACCTCGTGTCCAGCTCGAGGATCCCCGGTTCCTCGAAGATCGATCGGTGTCGTTTTATTTATTAAAAATTGTATGAAATTGCTTGGTGGGTAGAAGAGATGCCGGCGAATAAGACGAAAAAGTGGTCGCCGAGTGATACATCGAGGTGCGGCAGAATTGGAAAATTAATTTAGCCGGGAAAACTTATGGAAGCTGCGAGCTCAGCTTCCGGCGCGCATATTTTGTTTCGCCGCGTCCGTAGAACAGCTAGAACAGCTTATGTAAGCTCGCATGGGTGAAAGCTCGCTGTGCCGCTTTCCAGGTTTGTTGCCAACACGCTGACGAATTATTCGCCGTAAACATTTCGCGTTGACCAAACTGAAATCGAGACGTTCCGTTCATACGTACACGAGGAATAATTGTTTTATAAGCTGTCCGTTCTGTTGCGATTCATTCTTAAATTCACTCTGCAGGAAAATGATCATTCTATTGTAAAAGGCGCACTGTCGCACTGTCCACGGATCGTGATATAACGTAAATGCCGTTACCGTTGATTAAATTTGCACATGCCCCGGGCACGAGGGACCGTATTTGCTGATCGTCAAATGTCAAGACGCTCGATGCGTCATATTATTGTCGTGATCCTGATCGGTGAAACTGCACATTCATCACGACGAGCGGTGGGTGTCGTAACAGCTGGCCAAGAATCGGCCGATTACTGGCTGTTAACGGAACCGTTGCGGACACGAGGGATCTCGATTACAGGCCGGTGCCAATTGAAAGATTGCGGCTGATTGGCCGGCCGTTCGTATGCAAAACGGAAGTCGTACAGTGTCAACGGCCAGCGTGGTCGAGTGGTTTCTTTTTATATCCAGTCTCCGCTCTGCTTTCCGTTTCGTTCCTCTTTTTCGATTTTAATTTTTTAAGACCGATCCCCGGTTCGAGCGCAGAGAAACGCGGATGAAATACGTTCCATGTTCAGGGTTAATGAAATACGATCCTCGATAAAAGGAACACCGGATTCGATGCAACGCCGCTGCTCCCGTGTTTACCGCGTGTGCACTTTATCGATGGACCCTCTCGTGCATATTCTCCTCCATAGAAAAACAATAGGGAAGGTCGAAACCAGTGACTGCAGCATCCTTCGTGTCGTCATCGACGCGAATAGTTTAAAACTTAGGATTATCGTTAGACCTGACTGAGTGAGACAATCAGAAAATGTTGTCTACGATATTTTCACAGAACTGTTCGTGAGAAGTGAAATAAATTCGTATTACAGCTGATATAGATCAAGATTTCAGAACTTTGAAACACGTATGACCCAGATATTTTCATTATTGAAAGAACTTCGTAACGAAATCTGAAGTACATTCGAGACTTACTACCGCGTCCCGGGATAAACTTCGGAACGGATTAAATAGCGAATTAGTTAATCTCGTGTCAGCCTTTATTAACCCGTGCGTGTATCTCAGAAGGAACGATAAAAGTAATGGATGCGGCGGCGTTAAGGACAATGGATCGTTTATGATCATCTCGCGACCCCGCTAACTTTATTCCCCTATAATTTTTTTACGCGGGGCATAATTGAAAAATTGTTTGAAACAAGAAGTTGTTCACGAGCCGAGAAATTATATAAAAATTTCGCCAACAGTCTCGTTTGAAAAGTTCGCAGGTGCGGTTTTATGCAAAAAAAGAAAGGGAATAAAAACAGAGAAACAAGAGGGAAAACAAGTGATTTACTCGCAGCGGTTTCAGTTGCGCGATGCGCCGAGTTTACGGTTGCCGAGCTTATTTAAGCGCCGGGCGTTTTGCAATCCGTTCGAATTATGCCGACTCGGAACGTGAATTCGGTCCTTCGAATGTTCGGACGAAGATTGGAACGATAAATCAGCCGACGTTCCTTCTTCCGTCGCCGAAGCTAAATGAATCGTGTGATTTCGTTAATTGCCGCTGCCACTAAAACGGTAACAGACTGCAACCCAAGTTATTACAACGTTATTCATGATCCGGGCTACGTTAATTCCCTGGCAGGAGATGAATTACCATCGGACGAGAAATCACGATTTTTATGAGACCTACGTCCCACGATCTAATATTTCATTGTCTCTTGGTAGTCAGATAAGGGAGGGTGGGCGTCGAGGTAAAAAGTGACACGCTCACATCGTGATCTTAATCCTAGTAATTAACTGAAGCCTTCAGATTCAGATTGGCATTAATTGAGAATCGTGTAGGATTTCCTAGATTATATGAGAAATCTCATAATTGTCACTGAATCACGTAAATGTCGGTGGATAAATCGGCAAGAAATTTCCCATGTAAATTGGGTAACGTGGATTAGGATACAGGGTAAGAAACTGGCGAGGGAGAATTGTTTATATCACGGACGGGGAGGCAGACGACGTGGTAATAAAAGAACCTCGGTAAGAGGGAAGAAAAATTTACATAGCCAACTCTGTAGCGGCGCGTCAATTTTCGTGTGGTGAAAAATGTTGAAATGCGGCAAACGGAGATTATTAACAGTCGGAGAGCTGCTATCCGGATACATAAATCTGCGATGACCCAAATTTCTAGTCTCTCTCTGTGGCGCGGCGTGTCCACGCGTGTACCACGGTTAATCGGGCATCGAACGAGCCACGGGGAACCTTGTAAACCTGGCTTCTCCGGGACAACGACGCACAGAGACCAGCTAATCTCGAACAGAAAATTTTCACGGACCCTCCGAATTGAAGTGACAATTTCCCAAACGAGATTCAGCTGCAAATATTGTCAAGCTGATATTTTCATTATTACCGGATTCACCGCGTAAAAGGACGCGTTCTATCTTCGAAGCAATCTGTGCTATCTATTTCGTTGGTGAAAAATTTTCGAATTGGAACACTCTTAACCCGATTGGCACTACTCCCAGGATATTAGTCCTCTCTAATGGAACCCACGAAAACGTTCAATCCCGTTGGGTTCGTTATCAATGCTATCGTCGCGATAAATCTGGCGCGCCACCCTTGAGAGCGCTCGCCGTGACGGCACGAAAACCATAAAAACAGCGTCTCCCTTGCTCGCATCTCGTGGGATTCTCGACAAAAATCGCAGACTTTTTTGCATAATGCGATGAAAGTCGAATTGTTTAAAGAAAATTTTATTTCGATGTAATTTAAAAACTTACCGTCGGTCATATTAGAATCTCGCGTTTCGTTAACCATTAGACGTAGCGAGGTCGTACGATTTTCCAAATTTATTTCAATAGCGTGAAATAACGCACGAGTGCTCAGCGATTTATTACCGCCGTTTTTCATCCGAACGAGTTATGGTCCGGTTGGAAAAAAAGTGTCGCGGCTGAAGGGGTTAACGACACGCGCGACTCTTCGACGATTCGCGTGATCGACGATAATCACGCAACGGAGCGAAAATAAAAAGCGAACATCCAAAGTGAACGTGAAACGGAAAGGAAATTGATGAAAGGAAGATGGGTTTTTACCTTGGAATCCAGCGGATGCACCCGACCCTCCTCTCGTTTCCAGAGGTACTTCCACACAGATTTATCGTCCTGCTTTCAATTAAGGACGCACAATTAAACACGAAAATAATTCGTTCGTGAATACGTTCAATTTCGAGACGATGTTTACTTGGCACAGTAAAACGAAACGCTGACACCGCAGCCACCGGCAATGGATGATCCTTAATTAACACAAAATCGTGGCAGACTGCTCTTCCCCGTGGTCAGTGATTCGCCAACAGTATTTAACGCGAATCGGTGTCGAACACAAGCTTAAGTTATCCAGTGACCATCTCCACCGCGAAGGGGTCGTAGTTTCTTCTCTTGGGAATCGATTGGGCGAACCTTCGCTCCAGAATCTTTCGTCCGCTCCATTCGGTGCTTCTCTTCCTCAACGTCTTCTTCCGTCGTTTGCTCTCGGTCCATTGGACGTCGCGTCGCGAACTTCTGTCCCGTCTTCGATAACTCCGAACATTATGCGTGTATCGGCTCGACAAAGAAACGAGGAGTCCGACGGGGTGGCGGGGGTCTGCCGGCTATAAAAGGGGTCGTTTCGTACGATCGGTGATATGAAACGAGATACGCTCGGAAATTTCGTGAACGCGAGTCGCAGTGCCTTTGCTTGTCCCGCGGCGGAAATCTTTGAAAGATAATTGACGTAAAGCTCTGGGAAAAGCAATTTCGGCCGCGTACCGGGGATTCCTCGCCGAGTAAATAGGATCCTCTCACCGAATGGATGGCGTTTACCCTTTTCAAGCTTAAGAAAGCTGATTCTCTCTACAGGCGGTCGTTCCACAAAGCCCGGGCCCCAATTGGGAATCGGGAGAAACAGAGTTTCTCGTTAACGAAGTTTAAGCTATTCGGCGCGCGAACGATAACGCGATATCGGTTCGCCGCTCGATTCCGATTGACCTTTATTGTTCTTTCCAATGAATCTCCACGAGTTAATTGGATGTTCCGTTTCCTCCGACGATTTTACCGTGGATTTAAGATCGACGTGCAGCTCTACCTGTTCGATTTCTTCGTGTGACGCACGAATCCCGGGCAAACAAGTGGAAAAGTTTTAATTAATAGAACACCGATCGCGCTAAACGAGCTACCGGCGAAATCACGCCGGGGATTAAGCTATCGGAGCATTAAGCACTCGGGGAACTCGCGATTCCTTCAAAGCCCGACGAATAACTCGAGGTGGGTCGCTCGTTAAGAATTATTACCGAATAGACGCGGTCACCGGAAATATGCGTGTTAACGAGCGGGGAGGGTCTCTTGAGAAGACGCGTGATCTTGATAACGGTCAATTTGCTTGCAATTAACGTGGACGCACTAACGTTCACAACGGTCTAGTAACGAAAGCTTGTACACTCGATGGCTAATTAACCCAGAAGGTTGTACGGCTTATCTCGGAGAAGCCGGAAAACCTGGCAGCTTCCCTTGTAAGAACGTTCAGGAGTCTTCCTGTTCCAAGTTCCTATAACGATTCATAAGATGTTTCTTTAAAAGGACGTACCATCCACAACGGCCCGACGAAAGGAACTCACTTAATTAACCCAGGAAATTTAGGAATCTCCTCAGCACGAGTGTTATTACACCATTTTTTTCAAGTTTCGGTGGAACCATTCACTCGATGGTTAATTAATCCGCAAAGTTCATCTCTGAAGCCCCGTACAGCTTCCTTCGGCATCCTATGGATGAACGCTCTCTGAACGTTTCACAAGATCTCACCCCAGGACGAAAGTTCTCCACAGAAGCTTCGCGAGGTTCGACGAGATTATCACTTAGCAGCGGTGTTAATTGCCGCGTGCACGCCGCTTCCGGTTGCACAAGGTCGCATACACCGGTGGCAGCCTACCGGCTTCGACGGGTCTGCTTGACGAAGCGAACGTCGGGATCGTCGTCCTCGTCTTCGTGCTCCTGTCGTCCTTGGGGCCCGTACGAACGATAGAGGATCATGATACCAGGGTACGACTTCCGGTGATTTCTTCTAACTTTACACGTACGCGACTCGCGGGTTTACTTGTACGAAAACTAAGTGTGCTCGTGCGTGCGAAAGAGAAAAAGAGACAGAGAGAGGGGAGAGGAGGAGAGAGCTTGGTCTCTCGCGATTCTCGGTCCTCGAGGACGCCGGGACGTGTTTCGCGGTTTGAGAGGAGCGACTGGTGCCGCCGCGTGGCCCCAAACCTCTGTTACCGTAGCGCGTGCGCTCCGCATTCAACGGCACCCTCACCGCCGAACCCTTCGTCCGATGCTCACGCACTTCTCTGCCCGCGTCCGATCGCTCTTTGCGCTTCCACCAGCGTTCGCATCCTCTGTCCGTTCTTCAAACACTCTTCCACTCCGTTCCCCGGTTCGCTCACCATTCTCCTGTCAAAATCGAGGAAGTACTCGGAATTCCACCATCTACAAATATCTGCATCAAAGAGAAACCGAGATGGACCGAAAGAAGGACTGTATGATCGAGATCTAAGTGATTCCGATCGGAAGCAGAATCTTTTCAGCTCGCAGCGAAGCACGCCACGAGAGGAATCGAAGCTGTCGCGACGACTTGACTGGGAATCGAGAGAGCAAAGGCTTAAGATGTATGTCTATCAGAGTTTGGATATTCCCCAAGGAACCTCTGTGTCGTCACTAGTTTCCTCGACGAGCAAATTAGAAAATGAAATGCAACTCGATCCCGAAACGAACTCTACACGAAGTAAGGTTCTATACGTCTTGTTTGCCGGACGGTAATATGTCTTGTGCGTCGGTCGCTAGTCTGTAGTTCGGCCCAGTTTCCACTTATTTTCAAGGCGATAGGACGGTCTTGTGGTTTGATGAATGGACCCGGTCATGAATTGGAGCGCAGTTTGTGTAGAATCTGAGTTCAACGCAAAGATGAAATCTGGATAATTAATTCCGGGTTCGTTAACGGTGGTCAAACGTTGTTAGTTTTAATCAAACATTCATCCCTTTTTCTATCACAGATTGAATAGCGAAGCGATAAGGTAGTTGGACCGTTTCAACCTCTGTTCTTCCTTAATACTTGTAGCCATACAATTATCATCCTGTTACCGTTTTAGGATCGCTGTTACGACCGTTTTACGTCACCGTTACCCTTTACGCGGTTACTTGGCTCGTTAGAAGTTTTCCCGGCGAAGAAATTTATGGGGAGAAGGATATGGAAGCCGAACCATATCCTCGTTAACGCTTCAACCCTTTATCACGAGTAAACCAAACCTCAGATATCGATAACGCGTAATAAATCCTTTGAGCAATAATTATTTTCCACTGTGTCTCTAGTTGGAATTCATTTGAGCCGATGAGAACGTATCGGTTTACGTAGAGAATTTTATTTCGTTCGCAAGCATTTCCCTTTGAGAAGCGTCCCGTCGGTAATGATCGGTTTCAGGTATTCCCCTCGGAGATTCGGCAGCTCGTCACCTCGGCAGTTTTTATCCCAACGGTAAACACGACCGAGCACTCTCGGACGAAACGGATATACTCTTATCGCTCCGATTCCCTCGGCATCGATTGCTCGTCGTTCGCTGCGTTGCCGTTGGATATGCCGGTGCATTCGGGTGAATCCTGACAGTCGCCACCGAAACACATAGGCAGTTTCTTCTCTTTAGTCGTCACGCAGGGCACCCTGTCAGGCATCGCACCGCCTGAAACAAATGAAATTATTTCGTTGAAATGAGCAACGATTTCTCATAACCGAACCAAGTAAAAGCGACGTAAATGGCACATATCGTGTTTTGTTATCTGCTCTTAAATCACGACTCGTGACTAATGAATCGCAAGAAACGATTAATTATTCACGAGCTCTCCGGCAAATAATTCGGCCGGCCTTTTAAAAGTCAGTTTATTACGCGATTAAATATGAAAAACGTGGAAATTGGAGACAATTTAGTCTGCCGATACGCTTTGCTAACGCGGCGGAGTAAACAAGCCGGAGTTAATCGATTAACGCGGTTCCGGTTATCCGCGAACAGTTTGCATAAATCGATTTACGAGTTTTTCTCGAATTAACCCCGGACAGGCACGGCACCCACGAATCCCATTAATCCGGCCGATAAACGCACGAACAGGTCGTTGAAGAGCCTCGTATAGATTAACATCTTGACGTCGGCCAGATTAACATCTTAGCCAGCATCGGTGACACCGGGCCTACCCTTCTGCGCGAATTAATTCATTCCCTTTGCGACGCTGATGCTATCTTAACGTCTTCCCGAGGAAATTTAAACGGCCACGGAATACAAAAGAACCTTAAAACTCCGTTCAAAGTTGATTTTAATTGTAAAAGAGACACGGGGTGGGCGTGCGTTTGAAGTGGCGGGCCGGCGACCTAGAAAATCCACTTTTCCTCAGAGAAACCCTGTGCTCCTCGCGTTTCAAAAGAAACGCGATGATATTTTTTAATAACGCGGCGCGTCTCTTTAGTAAACGGACACAAGGGAAATCTTGCATTCCAGCTGCGAAGTAACTATCTAATATCACGTGTATCCAGTATCGGTTTGAAAACCCGAAGACGTAGGGAAGGTGTAATCGACGATGAACTCACCGGTCATTGAAAAGGAATAGCTGGGTATCGGCGGCTGACTGTAACTGTACGACGCGTAGCCGTAGCTGTTGTAAGCAGTGGCGGGTGACGGCGCAGCCTGGTTTTCGGGCGATAGATGCTCATACCCTTGCGGAGGCGCGCAGCAGTTCCCGATAGTACTGCAACATTTTCCGTCGCAGCATGTTCTCCTCCAGTCACAGCAACCCTTGTCGTTGACATTTCGCGGCCTGTCGTAAATGGTAAACGATTCCCCAGCGAATTTTGTTAAGAGGAATTTAGATGCAGATGCTTCAGGGAATTTCTTGGGTGTCACTTACGGTCTAGATGGTATCGGCTGTGCGCTGAATACGGGTTTCGGTATTTCAAAAGTCCTCGGGCCGACTGTTTCTTCTAGCACGGGTTTGAAAGTTCTACGAACGCGTGCACGATCAACAGAATGAGATGAATAAACGATTAAAGGGCAGAGAATACCTGCAATGATCGCACATGGTACTTGATGAATTTTGGGAATGTCGAAAGGCTCAGTGGTACATGTTAAACTATTGCTGTCATGTTGTCTGGTTAACGGCTGATTCGGTAATGTGCATAATTGATATCGACAGGATGTTCATTTGTTGGATACGATAGGTTTCGATAGAAACGAACACGCATATATTTACATGGATGTGTTATTTATTGTTCGAGTTTACATTGGCTGGTTGCGAATTACAGAATTTTTATTTATGCAGAAAGAATAAGATCATTTTCTATCGGCACAGCATTTAGAAGGGGCTTCAGCTTCCTTTTTCTTATTGTCCTTGCAGCAGCCGGACATGCAGCATCCACCGGCGGCTTCCCTCGCCCTGAAAACGACGTCAATTTGCATTATATTTCCCTAAGAATCCCATTTCCACCCTAATTCAGGCGCAACAACCGACCCAGCTTGTAGCCCAGTTATGAATCCTCGAATTCGTGAGCGTCTGCTTTGAATTTTACTGACCGCACATACTCTGGTTTTTAATGACGATTATAATCCGATCAACCGTACTCTCTACATTTTACTACGTTTTTATTAGCTTGTCTGTCTGTTCGGTACAAATTTTGCAATTGATTTTAAACTAACTTCCCGATGAGATAAAGACTAAAAAGTAGAAGATAATTATAAAATACTTGTAAGATTTAAAACGAAAAACGTGGGGCGCACTATTCATGTAGGTGCCTCACGTTTTTCGTTTAAAATCTCTCAAGTATTTTATAATTATTTTATACTTTTTAGTCCGTTTTGAAAATGTAGTATACTAAAAATTTTTGTTATTTAAATAATTACACATGTCGTCTCGAGCTTGAACGCGACAGTTTATATTTTTTCTGATCATCGATAGATAATTCGAAGCAACGTGGGTTTTTTACGGTCGAAAATCACGCGTTAAGAAAATGTAAGTTTCATCCGATTTGCGAGTGTGTGCGTCTGATACAAATCGACCTTAAATCTCGCGATCCCGAAGGGTGTCCCTATATGGCCGCTCAGCCCCGGCAGGGTTGTGATGTGTTTACCCGTAACTCTGTCCCCTTTGAGGCCAGGCATTCTAAGGGCTTCCTTAGCAGGTAACCCGCTTATTTATCCTGGCCGCAGCAAAAATTCTGTTCCCTCGTCGGGTTGTTACCTCCGGTACAACACCCTCCTTCCTCCTGCGTTCCGGCGCAGCATTTAGAACCGCAACATCCGCCGGTTTTCTTTTCCTCTCTGCACATTCAGTCGGGCAATTCGGTTAATCGCGCGACTTAATTGTTTAATTAAAACCACCGCCGGCTGCCCCTCCCCGTCCCGTTCTCGCTCGGATTTATTTAAAACTAAATCTGTTTCGTACGCCGTTCGTCACTCTCGCAAGATCATCTCGAGCTAGCGGCCATACAGGTGTTACCGAGTTTATTGCGACAATAATCGAGATACTAATAGGTAAATATCATACTTCCGCGAGCAACAGCCGCCAAAGTCCTTCTCCTTCCCTTCCTTCCCCTTCTCACCGCTGGAACGCAAAACGACGTCACAATTAATTTCTTCTGACGAGAAATCGATGTCATTCGAGCGAAAATTTTATGCGTTTACAAAAAATGTTTATGATATTTAAGAATTGGGACATCAAACGTGAAATGCACGTCTGTTTTTAAAGGTTAAATGAAGCTCGTATGTAGATTTCGAAGCACATGTTTCATTTTGCATAAAAAGTTGCAATCTAATGATTATCATCAGAAAACGATTACTCACTGCTCGCATTTGCACGTCACCTGTCCGGCGTACCCCTTCTGACTTGTAACTTTTCTGTGAACAAACAACGGTTATATATCGTATTTTCCCTCGATCATCCCGGATCAACGTCGAAACTCACGCGCAGTGGTCACACATGTTGAATTTCGTTCTTTTTTCGGCTCAAACTTTGAAGGCACTGGTTGTTAATTCGTCGAACGGGCCGGGAATTTTAGGGGTTGCCGAAGGAAGTTTGGTGAGATCCGGTGACAAGAACAACGGACTGTGGCGATCGAGCCGTTTCATTCGTTTCCTTTCGCCGGCTCGCCTGCGCTCGATCTCGCCAAACATTCGCCGACCAAATAATTCCATTTCAGAAAACATGAAACGGTGAAAAATTATAGTGTCGCCAAAATAAACGCGACGGGAATTGATTAAGGATGTATTGGCTATACAGTCAATCCCAAAAGTTTATGTACCTTTGAAAAACGCATTTCCTATAATTAAAAAGAAATCAGACGTTGGAAGAATAATGCTAATAATAAATAGCTACGTGCTAAAAAGTATAGAAGGAAATATCCAATTAAGTATTNGAAATTGTAGATCTCATCGTCCTCTATAAGAAAGGTCATATGCAATTTTTCCGTATGTCCAACGGTTTAGGAGTTATTGGCCAAAAACGAAAATTTGGTAGAAATTGAAGGGGTACCACTTCGAAAATCTCGGAAAAATCGAAAATTTTTTTTTGTTGTTTAATATTAGCAATGTTCTTCCGACGTCTGATTTCTTTTTAAAAAATGCGTTTCTAAAGTGCATAAACTTTTGGGATTGACTGTATAGCCAATACATCCTTAACGCCGAACTCACAGAGTGTAATCAATTTGATTGCGAATCGTGATAAAAAAATCGGTCGATTTTAATATCATTAAAACGATATATTTATTGCGAGGCAGAACAACAGGAGAACTGCATTCTGCAGTTCTATTGCGATTCTGGTTTATAGTTGCATGCATGAAATGTTTGCATCAATCTTCATTGGAAGCCAATACTTTTAGTATTATTGAGGCAGTCCCAGCTCCGAAATAGTTTTCGAGGGTTCTGTGGTGCACACGTGTATTCCAAGCCCGGGTACATACAGCTTCCCAAAACGATTCCCGACCGATACGTAGAGGGTATCTGAGATATGAACATTTTCGAACAGCTGACTGCCAGCCGGGTTCCGTATCCTATACGCCAGGAACCAGGTCACGAGGTTGATCCTGTATTTTATTATGAGTCGTCAGCTTTTCACTCGATAGGACACTTCCATCTGAGATTCGACTGCTGTTTATAAATCCTTTTTCACTGAAATTCAAGATCATTTAATCATCTCGATAGCGGATAGGCCCCGATTGTACATTTGTTGCAGCGAGATGGGGAAAACAGATTAACCTATCAGTAAAGCGTTTATGGTCGGGTGAAAAAGCGGTGCAGGTAGGACGGGACGAAATTGCGATGGAATTGCAAACATTTTGGTCGGCTGGTTGATCGACCGATTCTGTCCGAGATAGAACGCCGCGAATCGAACCCAATGGCTCGTCATTATATCTATACACGTGACCCTGTTTTCGAAATTCATCGGGGTGCATTAACCGGTTGAAAACGCGAGCCTCTCGCAGCGGTTGGACCTTGCCTGCCGTATCCACGTGCGGAAGTGAAGTATCTCCCAGCCGTTCTTTCCTGTCTTCCATTCCTCTTGTCGAATTAAATAGCATTGGGAGAAACTCTGACATCGTCGTTGAACTCGAGTGTTCCTTTCTAAAAGGGTTCTTCGATTCTCGGTGGGTTGGCTCAGAGAACAGGCCTGAAGAATACTCGTGACGCGAGTGCTTTTTCGGCTTTAGAACTCTGTTCAATCCCCACTTGGCCAAGTTTCTCTTTCGACTGAATGCAAACAAATTAATACAGATACGAAATAGGTTTTGACCACTTGAAGAAAATTTCCTGAATTATCGTATAAGTAAATGACCGAGTTAACACGACATGAGGGAAATCTGGCGAAAAATTGAAACCGTGTTAACACGGCTATGGCCCTTAAGGGGTCGAAGATTCAATTCAGGAAACGGTCGTGTCGCGTTGAAGAAATTCCGCTGTCTCCCGCGGCGGAAATAAAGTAAACACGGTAATCGAGACAGGATTAGGCGATCGTTCGTTATTAAGGGCAGCTTAATCAGGCGTGGTCCCTTCATTAATAAAGTTTAAATTGAGCGTTGTGGCTGGGAAAAATTGTTAGCCAGTTAATTACCGGCTTTATAAAAGGACAGTCGCATCCATCGAGATTGAGAAACTTCCTTTACAATGAGGGTGAAATTTCATTTTCCCCTTCATTTTCCCGGACGATCTTCGATGCGGCCTTCCGCCGAGTTACCTTCGAGGGTCCTCGAACTGTAATAATCGCAGAGGCCGTGCGAGAGAAAATTTCGGTTTATCATTGTTTCACTCATTTAATTCACAGAAGTATAATCTGGTTATTTCTCGCTCTCTGCCGAGAGACGTTTTTATTTAAATTTCACTATTTGAGAAATTCACGCTATAAGCTTCGTGATAGATAGTTAAAGAATTTGGTATAAAAATCCTACGTATAAAATTGCGTGCGAGGGTAAAACGAAAAGGGTGACGCGAGGGTTCTGGAAAGGTTGTGACGTCAATGGATTAAATAAGTGCGAGAACACGTACACTAAACGGGTCGTATCGTAATTTGCAGTGTCCGGTCGAGTGAAATTAAACGGTGGACAGATTTCGTGGAACGCAGACACGCGTATGGAGGGAGCGGCAGACGTTCGGACGCCGCACGATCGTGGCAATGCCGAATGTGTCCGGTGGTACGCGTATTTATCGCGGGGTAAAAAGTGTGAACACATTGTTGGAAAGGCGCCAGGTAACGCCACCGACCAGCGAATCGCACGCTCCGCTCTGACTGCTGATAAATCCGTTCATTTTTTTACTGTTCGATTTCTTTACATCGGGAAACTTTACGATCAGGGTTTTTCCGACTATTTTCTTCGACTAATCAGTAATAGTGGTTTCTTGACCGTCCGCGGGACACGTAGAACTGCAACTGCTATCGATCAGCGGCGCGGGTCGTTATCAGGTCTGTCTCTCCTTCTTTTTTCAATCGGAAGGAAGTATAAATTGTTGGATTAAATCGCCGAAAAAGTCAATACTGTTCCTTTACAATAAGGGAACGCTCGGTCGATTTTTCACAACGAAAGTGGAGCGTTTTTTAAAGTTACCTAGACGGGATCGTAATTTTCAACGGGTTACGAGCACCGGTAGTCTTGAGCAGCTGCGAAGTTCCGCAGTTTCCCTCGAGACTGCGATGCACAGTGTTTCAAATATTGGATCGTCGATTCCCTCTGAATCGGGGATTATTTCTCTCGACTCTGTAAATATTGATCCAGCTTAATCGCCGCGATGTCCAACGAAATCTTCGTCAACGAGCGATCCTCCGTGGAACGAAAGCTCGTATACGTTCGTTATTTAGCCGATCCGACTACGCTTGGCTCGCCGTTGGCTTTAATGATCGGATATGTAACTCCGTCCAAGAGATCGTGGAAGTTTCCAGAGTCTGCCGACGACAGAGACAAACGAAACTTCGACGCAACGTCGTCGACGAAGAACTGCGAAGCAAAGTTCAACTTTCCTCCGTCGAGGTTTACTTCCACGAATGCCCGGATAAACGAGATAAAAATGAGCAGTCGCGGAGGTTTCTCTATTAGATCGACGGCGGTCCGACGAGTCGGAAAATTCGGCGAGGTTGGATTAATCCGGCGACCGAGGATCAGCGAGTAGATCCACCCTCTAGATCACGGAGTTAGGTCGCTGCTCGAGTCGCAGCTTTAATAACGATGTTTTGTGTTGCGACGCCGTGTTTCTCTCCACCGTCTTCAACTCCGGCAGTGTCCTTGTCGTTCATTCTTCTCGGAACAGAGATTCTCTTGCTTATACTCGAGTTCAAGCAATCGTGCACGAGAGAAACTATAATATTATCAAAGAGAGATAATTCTCATCGTTTAATATTCCCTTTGTAGCGTTTTGCCTGCTGTTAATCCCTTATCTCTGATTCAATTCAATCGCATTGAACGAGAAACGATAAGGGAAATGGAGGCCGTAAGGAAGAATGGCCTGCGAACAGGAAACGCGTGATTCTCCAAAAGTGAACAATTGTATAGTCGTCTGCCGTGAGGAAATGCCAAAACAGAAGGGAAAATAGAAGTACGCGTCGAGTGGTACATCATTATAGTCCCGTCATTCGCGTTTTTTAGCCTTGTCGCTTTCCGTCGTACTTTTGCCACTTACACCCCCGGTCCGCTCGTCCACCTCCTCTTTCTCTCTTCATGCCACAGAGTCACCCTTGCTCTTTCTCCTACGCGGTGTTGTTCGCCTTCCCTCGGTGTGCTATTTGCTCCCTCGACGCCCACGTCGCCCACCGTTCCGCCAGCCAACCGTTCCCCCCCTCCCCTTCCTTCCACCCCTTTTCTGGCCTCGCGGAGAGCTTAGAGATTGTTTTAATACCCCGATGGGCAGAACTGTGACCCAGTTCCACCGGCGGTGCATATAGAGCCGCGTTTTCAGAAGTCGGCTCTAGGCACGTGCGCACCCCGAAGAAATCTGACGCGATTCCTTCACTTTCGCGATCACGATAAAATCTTTGTCGATCAAACCTGCTACACGTCATTATTAACAACGTTACTGTCTATCAGTTTGGGAGGTGAAATTTTACTGTGAATTTATCTTCGATGACAATTATCGATTAACGATTCGGAGACGATAGTTCGATTATTATCTCGGAGAATGAGAAAAATGTCACGGTCGACGGAAGTTAATTTCCGCTAGACAGCTAGTGTCTCGTAGATAATGCAACGTCGTCGGAAGTTTCGTTCGATCGTTCGGTGAACGTTTTCCCTTCCGGTTTACTGCGTTTACGTACAGGGAACACAGCGTGAAGTTCACGAAGTCGTTTACCCCCGGGAGCCAACGCGTACCTTCCCCCTTGGGGGTTGACTCGCGTCGTTACATAATAATCGCTTTTATTACATGGACTACATTTTTATTCTTCTGTTTCATTCATCATTTTATAAAGATTGCACGAATTTGGCACGATATAGCGTCGTAACGTTTTTCTGTATGAGAACTAGAGGAACGGGACTTTGGTCAAAATCTGTAACACACACGTAGGATGTATTATCGTATTTAATAAATAACTGATATGCGAATACATACCTCTGGTTTGTGCATCACGTAACATTTGACCATTTCAAAAGCCCTGTCGCAAGGCTCCATTTCTGCAATTTAATTATTTCTTGCAAAAAGCGATTTAATTCCGTACAACAGCAAATTTATATTAACAGCACTCACGGGGAACTTTGCACGTGTTGAATAACTTCTTCGACGATTCGTGCATGCTTCGCGGTATGTAACGTAACGCCCTTTGCAAATCCACGTCGGCCTTGCTGTTTAAGATTCCGCTCCTTTTCAGGAAGCACATTACGTAGCACTTCAGTTTTCGATCGTCCTGTTCGAAGTCCCCGGACCTCATCCTTTTTAAAGCGGCTGTGAAAGTCAGAAAGGTCAATATGTTACCGATCTCTCGACTATTAATTAGATATCCTTTACCCCATGAAACCTTCGACTCCCTGCGGCAGTCCTTCCTGATATCTGCATTACTGCAATGCTAAAAGAGAATGTGAGAAAAATGTTTATCTCTAATCGCTTCATCTCGCTTACCAAGAATAATAAAGTTGCCGTCAGAATAAAGAGAACTTGGTAACTTCTTAACATATTTCTCACGAGTTTGCACGGTGCAATTTGGAATCAGTTTGGAACCAGCAGCACGACTGGTGTTATCAGCCAGGCAGCCGGTTGTTATTTAGCCCGTCGCATAAAAGTCGAGATTGAATGAATCAGGGCTATTTGCCATCGTGTTTGACGATTATAATTCGAATTCAGAGTACTTTGCTGAATAACAGCAAACATATCTATGAATTTTATGTGTAGGGTAAGACGAACACACTGATTTATATTCGAAGTAATCGTCATCATATATAGGTGTAGATCAGACCACCACAGTCTAGCTGCCTCCCTTTTCCGCATAGGTTTAACAGTTAACCCTTTTTGTCAATGCGGTTCCGAACATCAAAATGTTGACCACATACTATGGCAGTGCCCTTTATTTGATGACAAACGTGCGTCGTTCATAGAAAATCTACGCAAGCACAACATTTTCCTTCCGATGACATACACGTCACTCTTGTCAAATCCTATTGCGGCAATTTGTAAAATATTATACTCTTACGTTAAAAATTGTGAAATCCAAATTTAAATATGATACTGTAATCAAGCAAATGGAATACATCGACACACATCTAACTGAAACTTTGTCATTTATGTATCATATTGTTAAGTTGTTATACNGATTTATTTTTTCGTAAAGAGTAGTTTATTAATCATGAACATGAGATATACAAGTATCAGAAGCGAGGAGTTGCGGGTGTCACGAGAAGCGGAAGGATTTCTTTCTTTATTTTGCGATCGAACGATAGTAACTTTCCAAAGGAAATCCCGTGAATATCTTGGCGTTCGATCTTTCGCAGCGTCGGTCAATTTGTCTTCCATAGAACTAACAAAAAGTCCCACGAAGTTTTTCCTCGGAGGTACGCCTTCGATCAGCCCAGATATTTCAGACGATTGCGGAAGATATTCTTTCCCTCGACTTGCTTCTTCTATTCTCGACACACACAACGGTTACATTGTTTTCTTTTCATCTCGTAATTTATTCCTTTCCGAGCGATTCTCTTCTATCGAACGTAAACACGGTACCTGTTGAAACTTGAACGTTATCGAAAAATCCCGTGTATAAAATTAAATGTTGAATGAGAAACGATGGAATCGATTTGCATAGAAGTTTTCTTTGCCATATAATCGTGGTCGCTGTTATAAATATTCAGGAATGATTAAGACGATACGCGATTTGTATGATAATAGTCGATGGCCTTTACACGTGGAATGTTATCGCACGCGCGTACCTATTTTAAAGTAAAATCGTGTATTCAAATATTAAGGTAAAACGTGATAGGCGTTAAAAGAGGCTCTCCTCACGTATCCGTGATAATCGCGCAATACTATTTTTGGACGTTCTTAAGAGAGGATCATGAGGATGAAAACAAGCTGTTAGGTATATCTCGTCTGCTTCTTGGTCGCGCCTTTCTTAAACTTCTTGCGCATCGTTAGCCCGATTCTAGCAGAAGAGTCTCCGCTTTCAAATCGACTCTCCGCGCGAGTTTCCCTTGTCGCGTGCGTAGTACTCTGCGCAGTAAACAAACCGCACTGGCACTGTGTGGATGTATCTGTTGTCACTCGTCTGCACGCACTCATTTAATTCCGCCTCGCGTAGGACATTTTCGCCTCTCGTGATTACTTCGCAAAGAATTCTCTCGTCCGGTTTTTTCGCGATGCTGTGCCCACGTTGTTTCCGTTAGAAAAAAGAATAACAACTACACGAACGCCGAAAAAGGTTATGTCGGGCATTAAGAATGACGGCAGTGGCGCTGCGGACATCGCGACACGAATATAATTAAAATCAATGTAACGGTGCAGTATTTCGAGTCGGGCTTTTCTTGGTTGCGTTTTTTCGATTTCTGAACGAAGAATGTCGAACGGATTGATCATGCTGAACAATGACAAGAACAGCAACGAGACAAGTATGAGATTCGTATATCGATTTCTTTCCTGTACTATTTTTTTATATTCGATCACCGCGTATGCAACATAGTTCTTATATTCGTATTCTGTTTCTTTATTCCAATTCTTAGATTGCAACACGACCGCGGTTAATGCTGCATATCCTGCCGAGGGAATTGTGCAAGAGGGACACTTGACAGGGGTAAGTTTCATTTAATCAATGTCAGATTTATGAGAGAATCATATCTTTCAATGGCCCATCGTGCGGTCCACAGATGGAACAACCAAACATCTCGAGATCTGTGCTGAAGAGAGCTGCTGATACAGAACCCGAAGGTCAGTGGCTGGTTGCTCACATTCAGTATCTACTATTATTGAGCAGTATAACTTAGTCGTTATGCATGCATATGCATATTAAAGCTGATTTTTTGGTAGAACAAGCAGAGCAAGGATCACCTTATGTCTTGCAGGTTCAAGTTTTTTGAGCTAAGGACAAACAGGTGTAGAGCATCAACCAAGTTAATCTGTTTCCGTTATCTCTCTTTCGACAGGTGCGTCCAATCCAAAGAAAAGGCACAAGAATCCACAGCCGAAGAACGCTGTATGTGCGCTAAACGAGTTGAAAACCGGAGCGGTGTACAAAGTTGTAGACCAGACTGGCCCGATCCATGCTCCGATATTCACGATAGCTGTCCAGATAGATGGGCAAACATACGAGGGGAAAGGTCGTACCAAAAAGATGGCTAAACACGCGGCCGCCGAGCTTGCCCTGAGGAATATCATTCAGTTTAGAAACACTCCGGAAGTTCATCAAGCGATTAACACTTGCCAGCCCGTGATGCCCATCGAGCCAGATTTTACGAGCGATGTCACCGAACGAGACAACCACCTAGTGAACGCTTTCAAGACCTTGACCCAAGAACCGAGGAGCACGAACAAGTTTTTAGAGAAAGGTCCTGTAGCGCTCATCAACGAATTATATCCTGGGGTGGTGTACAAATGCGTATCCGACAACGGCGAGAGTTACGCAAAATTCACGATATCGGTGACCATCGACGGTGAGACGTTCGAGGGAACTGGACCGAGTAAAAAGTTGGCTAAAGCCGCGGCAAGTAAAGCGGCGCTGGCTAAATTGAGGAACGTTCACAGTTCCTCGTTCTGCATACCACTTCCAGTTCGCGTGTTGCCTAACTTCGCCAATTCCGGTCATTGGCAGGAACAGATGTCGTTACCTCAGATGCTAGCCGACAAAATCGGGAAGATGGTGAACCAGAAATTTAGCGAACTAATTCAATCGAAACCGCAGCATGCCCGTCGCAAGGTCTTAGCAGGCATTGTGCAGACCACCGGTTCGGACGCCGAGCTGATATGCGTAACGACAGGTAAGGAATAAACTATAAGATGCGAGCATCCTGTTTCGATTTATTTGATTGACTTTCTCTCGCATTTCGAAAGGTACCAAGTGCGTGTCGGGAGAGCATCTGAGCGTCAGCGGCGGTGCTCTGAACGACTGTCACGCCGAGGTGGTAGCGAGGCGATGCCTGTGCGAGTATTTGTACCAGCAATTGGAACTTCATACGGAGAGTCGCGGCGAGGAATCTATTCTAGAGCGTGCGAATCCCAAGGGATTTAAACTAAAACCGGGCATCCAGTTTCATTTGTATATAAACACCGCTCCGTGTGGCGATGCCCGAATCTTCTCGCCTCACGAAGAAAACGAATCGGTGGACAAACATCCTAATAGGAGAGCAAGAGGGCAACTGCGAACCAAGATAGAATCTGGAGAAGGAACCATTCCTGTGAAAAGCAGCGAAGGAATCCAAACATGGGATGGTGTACTTATGGTACGATATATTTTGCATTGAAAGATGTCCTAAACTCTCTTTCATACAGGCTGCGCTGACAGCTTTCCTTTGACCTACAGGGCCAAAGACTGCTGACGATGTCGTGTTCGGACAAAATAGCTCGGTGGAACGTACTTGGTGTGCAAGGTGCACTTCTAAGCCACTTCATCGAGCCAATTTACTTCCACAGCATCGTTTTAGGCAGTCTATTGAACCCAAGCCACATGTACAGAGCGGTTTGCGGGCGCATCGAGAATACGATTCAAGGTTTACCGCCACCGTATAGACTCAACAAGCCGTTGATGAGTCTCATCACGTCATCCGAAGTTAGACAGCCCGGGAAAGCACCTAATTATAGCGTTAATTGGACAATCGGTACGTAGGAGGGAGGAAAGGTATCATAGACGTCGGAGGGAAAGTCGGAGACGTTGCACGATTTCTTTTGGTCGACAGGACAAGCCGAGGCTGAGGTGATAAACTGTACCACTGGTAAGGACGAATTGGGGAAGCCGTCTCGAATATCGAAGCAAGGGCTCTTCAGGAGATTTCACTTTTTACTAAGTAAACTCGAAACGATAGAGGATGCTGATAAAGTTAAGTGTCGGCATTATTTAGAAGCGAAGTCCTCTGTACAGAATTACTCGGTAAGTGGGAATATAACAGATCTCTGGTCTCTCGGTTGGGCTCATGAATCGCTTTCGTCATCATTACTTTGTTTAATTTTTCTCTGCAACAGCTTGCCAAGCATCAGTTGAAGGAGGCTTTTGTAAAGGCACATCTTGGTAGTTGGGTTAAGAAACCGATCGAACAAGATATGTTCGAGGTTGACATTCGTATCTGACTAAATGAAGGTAACGATAATAATCTACCAACAGATCAGACAGATTTTCGGTTGACAGATTATGTAGTTCCTACTCTAAACTAGACCGCTCGTACAGCGTGTTATGATATGGCAGAATGCGGCATCAGTAAAGCATAAATCGTAGGATCTCGTATGCATCGGTCCTTGTCGGACTCTTGTGGTAACATACGTCGTGTTCAGAATAAAAAATTAATAAAGGCCCATAGCTGGCTAATTTCTTGTCTTCGAGCCGTCGAAGTTTTCACGATTCGATAGTTGCTCAGTTTAAATATAGGGTTATCGTAACTTTCGATACTTCGAATTTTAATCTTAATCTCTAGTCAATTTCGACAGTTTTATATACTGGTAGACGGATTAAGAAAGGATAAGACAAGGTAAAATGATTTTCCTTTCGCGACACAGGTAGAAGTACCTGTATTCGTTCTCTTCTAACGATTGGAATCATTGAATTATTACAGTGTAACACATATCTGTGAATCACTGACCGAAATTCTTGTAACAAGTATTTGTAACATAAATATTTCAACTCACTTAGTTAAACTCAGAGATAGTAAAGAGTCCAAAGAAATGCATGTCGAGATCTCTAGTCGTGCCTGCAGTATTTTTTCTTAGGCTTTAGTGGTAACAGTGAACACGTATCACGTTACATCCCCGAAGGCTGTGACCGAGTATAGGGTTCGTCATTCAAATTTGTTGCGGAAATTCAACGACGTGGAACAGGAATCGATTCCTTGTCGACGTGACAAATAGATCGTTGTCATTGTCATTTACATTTTTCGTTATTTTCATTTTCAACCGTCGACAATGAATCGGCCCTCAACAGTTCGATGCTATCATTATTGATTTTTATAGACTTCAATTTTGTTTAGAATCGATAGAGGAAACATGTATGAAATCAGCGTGAGAGTATGAATGAATCTGGAGTCAATAGGTGAGTGTAGAAATATATGTTAATTATTAAGTAGTTTAGAGAATCCTAAGATCATTGCCTCACTGTGCCAGTATTAAACAGTTCATGCGATTCTGCCGTAATGACACACTGCCCGGTGTCGGTCCAGTTTTGCGTGAGAAACTTGATACATGTACAAACTGTTTTGAGTATTAAGTACAACAGTCATTATTTTCTATAGTCATAATTCTTTGACGATGTCATTGAAATCTATTTAATTACAAGAATTTTAGAGAAATCGATATTTTATTTTTTTTACTTTGTTTATGCATTTAACAATGTAAAGATCATTAGATCCCGGTGTAGTATCAAAATAAGTTACGAGTGAATCGTTTGTACCGTATATGATTTTACTATCTTTTTTTCTGTCATTTATATTTCTTAACACAATCATCCAAAGGATGTGTAGACATTTGTGCCAATAATAGAACGGAATCCAGTGCAACGATTTGTATAACAAAGTGACGTACGTTTATTTTCTGTACATCGTTTTCCGTAAATTCAGATATATCCAGTATTTTCGTTGATTTCTGGTGCCGTTGACTATTTATTTATTGGCGTTCTGGTTAACGAACGAATTTTACGAATACCGATAATCGCATTTTGCTGCTTGCTTCTTGCCTTTTGCATACTACTTATATTACACAAATACAAATACGAACATGCATTCAAGTTAAATATAATATTTACCGAGTTTTTGCTTGTGACAAGCAAAAATGAATAACATTCCACCCGGATGATAATACTCCCCGTATCTCGGTTGAGACCACGTTGTTTCCCCATGTTGTGAAATCGTTTTACGTGAAACACCGAGAGGGAAAAGTAAGTGAGAGAGTGAGAGTGAGAGGTAGAACGAGAGCAGAAATGCCCGATGTATAATTAGTTTAAACAATCTGAAAATAAATAGAGACACGTTTCTTCACATCACACTAATAGTATCGCGTACAAAGTAAAATTGGTAATTTTACATTAATAGGATACAGACATTTTTATTAACGTAGAAAATAATGGGACGCGTATTCAGTTTCACTTGAATCTTCCGTGAATCTTCTTCTCGCATCACTGCGTGCACACTCTTTATACACGTTAACTACTTACACGTACATATATTAAATACACACGGATCAATGTACTGATAGAAACTGAGAGATTGATAGAATGAGAGAGTCGAACACCACGTAGTGGTTCAGTGATCAAAACTTGGAGTGAGCATTAATACTTAAGTATAATCAATGAATTATCGCTAGTTTTAGTCGATCTTCGACACAATTTCTCCGATTTTCCTCCGAATAACTTTGGAGGAATAAAAAAAAAATCATAGTTCTAGATACATCGAGCATAAATACGAACTTCGGTAGTCAGCTAGAATTTAAGCTTGACTAGAGTGCCTCTAGTTATAACTTTGTCCAAGAACTAAGTAATATTGACATAGGCAAGAGAATATCGAATAAACCTTTATTTACCAAGTGCTGGCCGTTGTCTTGCGACCAACCCCTACTGTTTTCTGTACACTGAATAAAAAAGACAAAAACTACCGACTAATAACGTTGATCGACACGTTGATTTCAAACGTGTGTTCCCAGAAATGTGAGCATCGTAAATGAACAGTCATATACGCATGAATGGATGATCGAAAATAACGATCCGCAGGTTTTAATTTGAAGAATTTTTCCGATTGCATGATTTCTGCTTCTTGCCTCGTGCCTTTAAATACAGCTGATCATTTATGCAAATTATAAATCGAAACTAGAACGATAGCTGCATGTGTTTTAAAATTTGTCTTACGTTCGCTAAATTGACCAATTGATTTTAGTCAGGGGAAGGAATTAAAGAGGAAAGCCTTGATTCTGTTTCTTTGAAACTGTATATTAATTACATCGTTTACTGTATATTGTATTTTATATTCTTCCTCTGTTTAATAGTCTATTTAATGACGCTATGCCTATCGTTTTAACGCGCTTCGCACATGAATCCCTCGATCCTCGTTTCATTAAATATTTCCCTGCTTGCCGATCGAGTCGTTTTCGAACTACCGTCAGTCTTGTCGAGAAATTTCAGAACGTACGACGTAATAGATCTTTACTGTCTCGACAGTAAGTCGTGTCTTATTATATATCGTGTGCGAAGCGACTGTTACATCGATTTCTTTTTCAAACTTAACACTATATGATATGTATCGAGTTCGCCAAATTAATGTCCCTTGCCATGCACTCTCCCCGTACATCTCCCACTAAGCGCATACATTGCCGACAATTTATTTTAATATCCGATGAGCGAACAATTACCGATGTTTAAATAAATGTAAATACGATGGAGAAAAAATTGTTGGCAGCGTTCGCCTAGTCTTAATGCGGGTGAAAAGTATGCTCGAACAGAGCTTCGAAGGGATGAATAAAAATAAAATAAGGAAAAGATTAGAATCGTGCGATGTGAATTTCAAATTGTGATTCCACGATTCCATGCTCCTCTTCCGATGTTACCCCATAGGAACGTCCGTGATCAGGGTAATTTATGAGACTACGTGCGGTAGGAAGACTTGGAGAGTTGAACGTCGTCCCATAGTTCCGTTACCGTATCAGTACGGTCGGCGAGCTACGGTTCGTTAAGAAACGCGAAACGAGTTGACGATAATTTCATCTGCATTTATTTCGAGCACGCCTTTCACCGGTCGTCGCGTGACAAACGAACAGGCTTCATTTTACAGATCTACGAAAACAAGCGATTGCCTATTACAGTTACGAGTAGCAACAAACGTTCGTTTCACGCAGCATTCGATAAAATAAATGATCATGCAAACAATTCCATAATCATACGTTGGATCATTGATCCGATGATTGATTAGCGTATCGTGGGCGTGCATGCTATCGCGCGACAGATCGGTGCAGTTCACAATTGTAATTGCCATCTCTGGATGGAGATTAATAATCACTAGCTACTAGACGACGATTATTACTATCAACTAGTGGCCTAAGTCTACTCGATTTCGGTGGAAGGTGTCCTCGAAAGGGTGAGATCGAGCGATAAACCAAATGTACACCCCCGTAACGCGTGTTTACATCTTCACGCATAATCAATTTATGTAAACGATGATCACGTCGAATACTGAGCTAAAAAGCACTCGGATGCGTACGACGCTAGGTTTAGTTTTAAACTTGATTCAAAAGGGTAGCCCACGCGACGTAGGTAAATACGTAACACGTAAAACGTTACGTCTAGCTTGTGCCTCGGCTTAGGCGTAATCACGCGTCCGCCTTTGTCACGGACATCGCCTAATCCGTATCAACGATATCGTACACCTATCCACGAGGAAACGTGTTAGATGGTAAAACGGTACCCGATCACCTACCTACTTTCGATAGACTACAGTGGTTACAGTTCGAGTGTGAACGTTTTATAAATTACAACACGCAACGAACAACGTTTCCATTAGTCTAGGAACGAGGTACAACGGGGGCGAACGGTAGATTAGGGACTTTGCTTAATATTCACACGCGAAGTAGAGATAGTACAGTTATTTACAATGAACCAACAACAGTGGTCAGAATCGCGACGAAACGAGAAATAGAGAAGCGGACAGTTTTGCACGGAGATAATGTACAGAATAAATTACATCGAGCAGCTTGCATTCGAGTTTCATCTGTGTTCTGGCAGTCTTGTTCTATCCAGATCCAAAGAGCCTCGACTGACATTAAAACAGAGGTGGACGATACGAGATTAGCATCTCAAATTAAACGTTTCATTTTATTTATTTCTTATATATCGCAATGATCTAATAACGAGATCGTTTAATCGGCCATCGAATCGTCCATCTCGTGTTCGGAGACGTGAAACGCCGCGGAATGCAAGCTCTTGCGATAGAATAAGTGTTTTCGTTGAAGCGACCCCGCAGATCGTGTTGTGCCGTACTACACGTGTCAGGTATATTAGATAGACTCGAGTCACGAAAGACTCCTCGCTGTACATCGTGTTTTCGCGCGTGTACACGCGGTAACCGGTGCATCCTCCAATCTCGTCCAAGCGTAAGAAAATTCAATTCTACTCGTTACCGCGCGACACCCGGATAAAATGTCTCTTTAGGGTAGTTGCTCCTTAGATTCGCGCGCGTTCTCCACGCAGAAGCTTCGCTCCGAGTGCTTCGCTGCCCTTTGGTGACACCGAGAGCGTCATCGATCTTCACTAATTACGCGATATCTCAGTTTACCTGTCCATACGTGCTCAGCGATTTCTCATTCGTAAACGACGTCTCGTTGGTCAGGCACTTTGAGTCGTTTCAGTCTCACGGATGCCCTTTTGTCTCCATCGATTCCGAACTTGAAAAAAGATAATCCAAGCTCTCTTCCCCCGTTCACCCCCCATTCTTCTATCGCGATTATTTTCGATTTACGACGAGTGTAACGAACGATGGTGCTCGTAGGGACACCAAAGGCTCCAACCGCGTAAATGTTGAAGCTGGTCCTGCGTTCTTCGCCAGAGAACGAGCCGACAACCGCGATCAGCGTTCCATGATCATCCTGAATCACCTCAAGTAGGATCGGACTGTTACCATTCGTAGTCGTGCTGATGGAAGGGATTGGTGCATGGTTGTTGAGCGTGTAGGTGGGTCACTATCGGCGGTGGTTTAACCAGATCGAACTCCCTGCTGATCACCTCATTGTAGAGCTAAAAGAATACACGAGAAACGAATAGATTACACCGTCGCGTTCAGCCGAACTCCAAGTTGGCGAGTCACAATAGGAAAAAAAAAAGGGTATGAACACGAAAAGAAATAAAGAAAAACGAGTTAATCGTTCAGAGAGTATAGCCTTGCGTAGAAGTTTTCTATCTTTTCTCCAATAAACGTCTTCCTGGTGGACGTTTCTAGTTAGAATGATTTTACTAAACCTGGAAGCTCCTACGGATATACTCGTCCTCGCCATGACCAGTCATACCGTAATTATATCCACCTCCGCCGCCGCCTCCACCGTTCAGGAATGGATTCGTCGGGTTCACTGGGCCTGGGGACGCGTCTCGTATAAACACGCGAATTAACGATTACGGTCGTCTCAAAGATGAAGAGAAACTCACCTCCGTTCGCACCGGGCACGCTGAGGTTTCCTCCGGAGGTTTGATAAGTGGCGCCGTAACCGGAATCCTGATTAGCCAGCTCGTGCAGCCGGGTCGAGCTGAGGGCGCGTGGAATCGCGTTGCTGGGAACGCCGTGCGGTGCCAAATGAGTCGCCTCGGCCACCTGGTGCGGGTCCTCCGTTTGCGGCAGCTCGGAAACGAAACCGGTGTCCTTTCTGTAGAAGTTGATGAACACGAACGCGCCTAGCACGACCAGGCAGATCAGACCGTACGCGCGGAACGTCGCAGTCGTTCCTGGAATGTTTAGAATCGTTTAGGAAAATAGTTTGTCACGAACGAATATAAAATGAATATCGTATCTACGATTCGCTTCCTTCGTTCCTATGAAATATTCAAGAGCAAATAACAGTCGAACTTACAGTGAATAATGGATCCCGTCTCCTTCGGGAATCGATAAAATTCTTACCGTAAGCATCGACGAACATTCCACCGATCACGGCGCCGCAACCCCTGCCGAGACCGTGGTGGATACCTTGGAGAACGCCTTGCGCGCTGGTACGCAGCTGCGGGGGCGTGTTGTGAGCGATGTAGCTGCAGCAAGCTGCCCAAACGGCGGCGTGCGTTATCCCTTGAATGAACTCGAACGGCAGCACCCACCACGGCGTCGTCAACCAAGAGATATAAAGAAAACGAAAAACGTTCCCACCCAGGCCCATGCACAGCACCTGAAATCACGCGTACATCTAACGACTTGACCAAATGATCCTTAATCTCAATCGAATCAATGAAAAATTATACTGAATGCTGGATAAAACTCTCTCATATGAAATGAAGGCGTGTACCTTTACGTGACCGATCTGTCGGATAAGTTTGAAACTGAAGAAGTAAGCGAATATCTCCGAAATGTGGTTGATGACGGAAGCAACGCCAAAAAGTGTCGGTGTTCCTCCGTAATCTTGAAGATGCCAGAAGAGGAACGTGAAGATCAGCCCGATGCCGAAGCCCATGAACCAGGCGACGAACAGGAACGACGCGCACTTGAGGTCTTTAAATTGCTTCAGCACGGTGACCCATTCCGGGATCTCCCGCATTGTTTGAGCGAACATTTTAGTCTGGGAACAATGAGAAGAAACAATGAACGACTATCGATCGACGCCCGAGATCAAGGACATCGAGTACCTTGCCTTCGGGAGGCTGCGGCTTAGGATTTATAGCTGCTGACGAATCTTGAAGACTAGGGAGATTTAATTGTTGAGAGAGTTGACTCTGCAACTGCTCTTCTCTCGTCGGCTCGGCAGGAGGCTTCTCCACCTCCTATCACAAACGAAATCAACATTCACGTTACACGTTTGTGCAGATTCACAATTTTTATGAAGTATTTACGAAATAACTCACCGGTTCCACGACCGGGAATTCGTATTTGAAATTGATCTGCGTGGCAGTGATCAGAGCAGCGCCCATGAGGACGCTGAAGATCGCGAAGCAGATTGTATAATTTTTTTCCCTAGCGTCCGGCCCGCAAGGATGCTCGGAGAACGAAGTGCTGTGATCCAAAGCGATGCCCACGAAGAACATGGCAAGGCCCCAGCCCAAACTGCCGAACATTCGCTGATGACCGTACCTAATAAGAAAACAGATCTTGAGACCTCGAAGAAGAGCCTCCAAGTCTGGTCTCAACAAGGAACTTTACCTATCCGCGTCTTCGCCCAACAGAGTGATCACAGCTGAGTCTGCTAAAGTAATCGCAGGCGCCGAGAAGAATTCTCCTACTATCACCAATAGTAACAGAAGAAAGAATGTTTTTTGGATATCCTGCAAAGGAGATCGTTCATGATTGCTCGAAAAAATACTGAAATTCTTTAAAGGTATGAAAGAAATGATACGTACCGGTAGTCTGTAGACAATAGAGCTGAAGAGAGGTTTCACCCAGCCCCTGTTCTCCTTTTCGTTATAATTGGCTGCATAGGAAACCGAATGAGGACTCACACCAGAGTGAGGCACTCTGACATACCGTTTAGTCCTGATCAATGGCATATCAATTATCTCTTCTTCGTTATCGTTCCGATTCTCTCGATCACTCATCTCTTCGTCCATGAGAGACCATTTCCGCACAGTTTTCATGGTGGACCGCTCTTGCTCAGATTTCATGAAAACCTCGTTCTCGTTAGAAACTTCGTCGCCGACATCCCTTTTCACCATCACTTTGGACGGGACTGGTTTCACCCTGGTCTTGGTGTGCGTGTACGCCTTCTTCGGCGGCTTGCCGTTGTCCAGGGGTTGATTCTGAAATAGACTCTTCGTCAATAAGTTTGTCATTGAAATACAGGGAGCGGAACTTACATTGAGGAATCGCTTGTACTCGAGTATGTCTGCTGGACGGTTTTTCCTTTGCAAAGTCTCAAAATCAATGGTCTTAGCTTCGGGATCGTTCTCTTCAAAAACCAATTGCTTATAATGAAGATTTTCGACTGGACTATCCTCGGTAGTGGAGGTATCATATGTTTCTCTTCGAACCCTGTTAGTATCGTGATTCACCTGAACATTAGCTGTGTCCTTGGTCCTTTGCAAGCTGGGGGTAATCAGCGGATCGAGCTTGTCGCCCTTTCGCAGCCTCTCGAATACCACGTTCTCGGCAATCTCTAAACACTCGCCATCGTTTTGATGGTAAAAATCATCGAGATTGGTGGACCGTTTCACTATCCTCGTTTTTGGGTTCGGTGGTTCCAGATACGCAGTGTTGTTACGTACGACCAAACACGACGTGGCTGGTGGCTGCATGAAGGCCAGGGGAAGGGTGAAAACGATCCAGCAGGAGAGCGAGGCTAGGAAGATCAGCTTTCCCTTTTGCCACCTTTTTGAAAAAAGAAAAGAACATTTCAATTATATTTCTTGACCGCGCTCGTTTCTCACATCGTCGCGAGTAAATCAATAAGGGGTTGGAGCTTTCTCTCGTCTTGCTAACCCACGCAATATTGGACTCTGGATAATATCCGTTAACATTGACCATAAAACTGTTTGCGCGACGATTATGGTACCAATGGGACGAAGCGAAAGTCGATAATTATTTGCTTAGAAAGTGGTAAACAATGAGAACTTTTACGTGGTCCCGCGTTCTTGACCGGTTTAAGTGAATGCATTCACCTGTCAGCCAGCGAACCCCAGAATGGCGCACTGACGAACTCGATGAAAGGCCTGAGACCCATGAGAAGACCGCACTGTCCGGCGTTCATGCCCATCTGCTTGAAGTAGACACCCATCAACGGGAAAAGAGAACCGAAGGCCGAGTAGAAGAAGAAGTAGAACGTCTTCACCGTGAGAAGTTCTTGATCCACGGTCCCGAAGAGGTACTCGATCAAGTCACTTTTTCCACGGATCTTGTGCGTCGCCTCTTTTGGCTGCGGGTACAAGTTCGGGTCGACCTCCCCCTCGGCTTGGGGGTCTACCATGGGTCTCGCGCCCGGCACCTGGGGCAGGCTCCTCCCGATACCTTGCGAGTCGCCACCCCCGTAATCGTAATCCTCGTGTCCATAGTTCTGCATGATTGGAATCTGAAGAATTCTCTTCTATATCTTCGGACCTTTGCTTCTTCGGACACTACGAATCACGTCGCCCGGGTCGAAAACGACGTCCGATCCGATGGAATCGGCCCCACCTCTGGACAAAGGGCTAGGATTCCTCGACGGCGATTTTTCCGCGAGACTGTCTCTCGTCTTTCGGGGATCACCAGCTACAATCCTTTTAGACGAGCGTCGAATCGATGGCCAACCGTGTGGCACCTTTCGCTCGCGAAATCGATAGTCCTGACAGTGCGCCCGCGCAACTTCGTCCCCTCGCACCCCATCGCCTTTTGTGGCTAGCGACGGCTACTAAATTCCACCTCGCGTCGCCTACTCTCATAAACTGTTCGTCGGAAATGGAAAACAACAATGGAAAACGGATTCTAGATGGAATAAGTAGTATGAGGTATAACGTCATACATTGTTTGAAAGATTCTTTGGAGAAGATTTATTGTAATCGTTTCGGAGTTGTTCAAACGTTGAACGAGTCTCGAATCTTTTACTGAAAAGTAAACTTGTCCGCGACACCCTTGCTTTCTTCCACTTTCACCAACCCTTCCGTGATTCTTGCGCAAGTGATCGTAGACCGGATGTTCGGTTCCATTCCGAAACGTCATGGTCAGCCTCTGTATACACTTCTCTTCTCTTTTTTCGTTCTAATCTTATCTATCTTCAATATTTTTTAAATACCAATTGACCCTATTAATTAATCGGAAAACATACTACACGTTTATGAGGATGTTATCATAAGTTTATCGAATAGAAAAGTTTTCTCTCTCTAATGGCCTAGACACGCATGTTTAGGGAAACCTTTCTCGTGCTGGTAACGAAAGTGCGTTGAATGTCGAAGACCTTGACCCCACAACCAGCCTTCTTTCCTTTATCTTGCCAAGTTCGAGCGTTTCGCGCGATTCCTCTTATCGCACGTAATGCGGAGTAGGACCTTTGTCACCACGGTTCGTCTCTTCAATAACACGTCTAATCAATTTTTATTATTCCGTGTTTTTTTATAAATTCGAGTATTGGAAAGGAACGTATCACATAATGCGCAATTGAAATTATGTAATTGAGAATGAGATTATCTTACTAATTAATTTTGAAGAGTAACATCTCGACGTAAATTTCCAGATAGAAGGAAAGAGTTGATACATACGCGTCTACGACTTCCGTACACCACCAAACGGGACGCATCTCTTATCAATGGTGCGCCACGATGCATATGCGTGATTATGGAAGTGCATGATTATGGAATTTTCTATCGAAAGAGAGTATGTTGGTTTGGCAAGTTCATCGATCGACAAAGATTTCTTTTATGCATATCGAAGATTGCATTGCGTGAACTTTAAATTGAAGGAGGAAGTTACAAACGTCCCCAATGAAAGATAGTGTTAATGAACGCTAATGACGATTCGGAAGAAAATACACGAAGAAGAAACTGATTAATCGTTATTATCTCTGGGAGCAATGATTCTTCCGTCCTCTAGGAATAACCGATTGACGCAAAGCTGGGGTTGAAGCCTCATTTCAAAGTTCAATCATGGAAACTCACGGTGCACGCTAGCTTCACCTAGGACGCGATAATCATTTGCGTCATCGTTGCAACGATACACTCATGATTGCTAATGAACTGCGGAATAATTTTTTTATAAATTCGAGTATTGGAAAGGAACGTATCACATAATGCGCAATTGAAATTATGTAATTGAGAATGAGATTATCTTACTAATTAATTTTGAAGAGTAACATCTCGACGTAAATTTCCAGATAGAAGGAAAGAGTTGATACATACGCGTCTACGACTTCCGTACACCACCAAACGGGACGCATCTCTTATCAATGGTGCGCCACGATGCATATGCGTGATTATGGAAGTGCATGATTATGGAATTTTCTATCGAAAGAGAGTATGCTGGTTTGGCAAGTTCATCGATCGACAAAGATTTCTTTTATGCATATCGTGATTTCGCATTGTGTTGCGTGAACTTTAAATTGAAGGAGGAAGTTACAAACGTCCCCAATGAAAGATAGTGTTAATGAACGCTAATGACGATTCGGAAGAAAATACACGAAGAAGAAACTGATTAATCGTTATTATCTCTGGGAGCAATGATTCTTCCGTCCTCTAGGAATAACCGATTGACGCAAAGCTGGGGTTGAAGCCTCATTTCAAAGTTCAATCATGGAAACTCACGGTGCACGCTAGCTTCACCTAGGACGCGATAATCATTTGCGTCATCGTTGCAACGATACACTCATGATTGCTAATGAACTGCGGAATAATTTGAGGGAAAAGGAACTTCGATGCAGAGAAATTGAGAATAATTATAGAAAATAAATAGTATATTTCTAGGACAACTTACACTATACAGAAAGATATACAAATAAGTATATAACTTAAATTATCGAGATCTACTATATACAAAGTTTGGAGTTCAAGCTCCAAATTCAAACATTTTTCTCTCCCTCTTCAATCTTTGGTAACGGCGTCATGACGATTGTTGGTTCAATTCCGGTGATTAAAAATGTCCCTGGGTATAGGGTCCATATGCGATTGACCTTCGAACGCCGTCGAGGCGGACGTCGATGACGGCGCCGGTTTCGGTGGTCCTTGAAACATGCATGTCTTCGCTGTCTTCAACAGGCGACCGTCGCTCGCCGTTCGCCAATAAACTGTGCGAATCGCTTGCTTGCCAGCGACGTAACTCACTGCTCCACCGATCAGCATCTGCGAGTGAAGCAAAATAAGTCAGACTAATAAAACCTCAAAATTCCTCAATATTTATAGAAATTGGAGATCTTCAAATTGAAATCGTCTTCGATGACTATGAATCGCGCGCGCGCGGCAAAGAGACAGAACCAAATTTCTTTTTATGCAATACGAAAGATGAAGGAAAAAATTAAGTGAAAGACACTTACCTTTGCGTTTGGTAACTTGTGTTATAACGTGGACGACTGTAAATGATCTGAATAGAACCGTGAAGTTCTATGCCGTTTCAAGAGTTGACAGAAGTGAAACGTCTGAAGAGACTCTTTACCTCGCTGTTCTGCGAGAATTGCTGAACTGACGAAATGCTCTTCTCCGACGGATTATTTATACGACGTCGTTGACGTTACGGCAGACAGCGATAAGGGGACACGTCATTCATCGTGTTCGCCGAATCCGAGGAGCACGAGACAGGGTGGTGGTAAGTACGTAGGATTTTTAATAATTGACAACTCAAGACTTAGATAAACCATGCCTTCTGTGTTTACCTATCCGTGCATTCTTATCACGCGTGATTCCCGCGTATCCATGACTGGATAAATAGCTGCTCTTTGCGACTCAATCGTGACCGGTCATATAGATTTACCAAATAAGTCGCCAATGCGTAGTTCAATGACTCAATACTAAGCTTTGTAAACAAGATTGAAAAGTTGTGGTTGGATAAATAATCTTATTAAATATTCTTATGAAATTATACGTAATAAGTTTGCAAGAAAAACAGTCAGATCGACCCTTGCCAATATTCGAGTGCATTATGCACTTTTTTGTAGATATTATTTTTTGATATTTTGAGAAAAGAAATTTTTCAACTTTTCCGAGACTTTGCCAAGGAATACCCTCTTCAGATTTTGCAAAATTTTCGTTTTTTGCCATAAGTTAGTTGATTTTGTCAATACCAATAAAATGCCGATTAATCATATTTAACTTGTTAAGTACTAAAGTTAGACGAAAAATACAGAAAATCCAGTTTCTTACAACAAACGATAGAGTAGTAGGATTTATTTGTACATATATGTCGTATGTACAATATTCTTGCCATACGTATACATCCATATGTAGAATAGAAAAGCTGGTGGTGTTGGCGTGCCATTGTGTCTGGCTCCAGTCGTTTTCCTTTATGTCGCTGTCGACGTAAACAAGGAAAATCGCTTTTCTAAAATTACCCGACATTGAAATAGATTGAAAATAATTCTTGGAAGCGTGTGGATTACAGTTGTCAGAGAAATTCGGGACACGTTTTATCTTTCTAATTCCTTATTGTTTTATAGATTAGTTTCTGACGAAACAGGTATTCCCGTCGGATCGTTTTTTACTATCTTAGCATGCCACTTTCAGCCCTAAATTGTCTTAATGTACACACCCGAATCACATGATAGGCATATGCGCGAATGTCTATCTAACTAAGCCTCTCAAGAGAGATCGATCAGTCTATCGAAACGTTTTATTTTTATCCGTCGAAATTCGTAACGACTTTATCACCATCCAGTCCTCGAGTGCATTTTTATCGTTTAATTGTTGATACCAGGTATCAGGGTACTAATCCATTTTATACTTTGTTGGAGATCGGTTTTACTCATTTTTGCGACGCTGGAAAATACCATGAATGCGAGCGTGTTACCTTGATCTCGTTAGAAAATTTCAGAGAAACTTAAGATGTATTGGCTATACAGTCAATCCCAAAAGTTTATGTACCTTAGAAAAACGCATTTCCTATAATTAAAAAGAAATAGCTACGTGCTAAAAAGTATAGAAGGAA